ATTAGCACAAAAGTGCATTTTGAGCCTAATTTGAAAATCAACCTTCCGAAGATTGGATTGTTCTGAAATTTTGAGAAACTATGTAATCGATGAAGCGTTTTATTTTAAAAAGTATCCAATCACTCAAAAATATATTAGCTCATGAATGCTAGAAACCAAGGTCAGCCAATTTAAAGCCAAGGTCAGCCAATTTAAAGCCAAGGTCAGCCAATTTAAAGCCAAGGGCAGCCAATTTATAAACCTAAATCTGCGAGCATGGTAACCGATTCAAAATCTTGTTTAGTTTTTTTTGGGGAGAATTTTTGCCTACTCACTTTTATCAATTCGTGTCGAATCGATGGCGAACAGAGCATATAGATGAAAATGCGAAGCAACGAGTTTAGAGCCACCAAAATTGAGCACACATCCGAGGTGAGCGTGTAGAAAACGGTACTGGAAAGGTGAAAATTTCGTGGTTTCGTGGTTTCATGTTGAAATCGTTTAGAAATCGTTTATCTATTCTTTTCTCGATTTGTTATAGGGAAATCATTTCATTTTGTGAAATTGTTTTCATAGCTGAGTACCCTAAAATTCCATATAGATAAGAGCGGTTTAATTTTTGCAAAAATTTTTAAAAAATATTTTAATTTATTATAAAACGAAAAAACAACAACAACAACAACAAAAGTAACAATAATTTAACGAATATTTTCAATTTCTATCGTTTCTATCGTTCATCATCGTTTATATCCATACAGGAAAAATCGTTTCAAATCAATCGTATGATTTTGTTCTTTTTAAATTTAAATTATTAAATGTGGGGCCCAGAAAGGGAAGGGTCTGTGGTCGACCCCGTCCGATCTGCCAAGTTGAGGAACGTCGGCGCGGGTTAGTCGTGGGTTCGACTCCCATGGGTTCCCCTCCGAGCGCCCCAGCCCGGCCATCGGAGTATCATCGGCCACGACAACTACACTTCTGCCTCAGTAAATGTGGAAGCGGGTTGTGATCTGCGCTAAGTGCGAAGACAGATCAAATCATTATTTTTATTTTTACTTAATCATACAATACATACTGAAATCAATAAGCCAATTAATTAAAGAGCAAAGAGCCACTAGATCTAAAGCATCGATACGGGAATTTGCAAAAGGAATGAGCCACTTCTGGGCCCTGACCGCGGTTTAAATTTGAAAAAGTCTATAAACAAAGGGCTAATCTGTTTACAACGGAGGATTTTGAAAGTTTCGACTAAATCAATGACAAAGCGACGATGCTGTAAAGTTTTTAATAGATAAAACCTTGAAGATATTCCAGTTAGATTAATGAAAGAATTTTCTTTCTTTTGTTCAATTTTGTTGGATTCTTAATGTAAAAATTGATAACTTTAAATGATTTCTAAGTTTTCTAAGAGTTTTTGAGCAAAATTATTTGTAAACCTTTGAAGGCTCATTTCTTTAAAATAATTTCTTTCTATTTCAATGATTTTTGCGTTTGTTTTTCCTTTTTTTTAAAGATTTATTTCTCTCGAAAACATACACAAAAAGTCAGAATAATAACTGATTTTAAATGAATTTTTTTTTTGAAAATGACAAAGAGACAAATGAATAAAGCAATCGATGAATGAAAAGAAAAGCTTATTGCTTGAATAAAATAAACGAAGAAAAGAGGGAATAGTTTCAAATGTTCAAAATAGAAAAAGACCAAAATAGAAAAAGAAATCAAAAAGACATCAAAAAGATCAAAATTTTATCAAAAGCTTGCAAAAAAAAAAAACGAAATTTTCACACAAAACAAAAACCGGGATTTTGCAAGGTGAAATAGGGGAAAATGGGTTGTTTTTTGAGAAAAATGGATTGTTTTTGTGAAAAATGGATTGCTTTTTGAGAAAATAGTTTGATAAAATCAAATAAAATGACCCAAATTCTTCAAATGGGCACCTAAAATGGAGAAATTTTTAACGAAAATATTCGAGAATAAACCAAAAAATGGCAGCAAAATCGAGCAATAAAGATGAATGTCACAATGTTAAGACGAAAAAAAAAACTCATGCATAGTTCTATTTTTTCAAAGAAAATCGTTAAAACCAGTATTGCAATTGGGGAAAAAAAAGAGAGAAAAGCGCTGGGAATTTGGGAATTTTTTTTTGGATTTAAAGTAGGCTAATTTCCGCCATTTTATTTGCTGATTATCCAATTCTTGTAGAGGAGCCCGAAACGCGTCGATTGGTATACGAATAGTCGTGTTTCTATTTAATGTCTAGTATTTTAAAAAGATTCGGGTAGGCTACTTTGCGCCAATTTTTTTTGCGCAACTAGGCTTTTTGCGCAAATCGCCATAACTTTCTTCTAAGTGCGCCAATCTTTATGATTTTGGTTTCATTTTGTAGATCTCAATAAGTGCAACAAAATGAAACCAAAAACATAAAGATTGGTTGACTTAGAAGAAAGTTATGGCGAGTTGCGCAAAAGACCCAGTTGCGCAAATGACCCTATTGCCCAAAAAGAATTGCTGAAATTAGCCTATCGCTTGGATTTTTCTAAAATACCCTAATCATTTGCTAATCTTATCGATTTTCTAAAGAAAATATCGATTTTAAAATTCTGTAATCTAAGCATTAGTTTACTTTTGATCAGCTAATGTTTGAGATCATTAGCTGAGCCGAGTAATTGAGCTCATTGACTATAGTACTTTGATTTGGATTTGTTTATATAAATGAATGTCTTTCCACTTTCAGCTTTCAAAACTTTCAATTTTCAAAACTTTTAGAGGATTTTAGAGATAAAATTTGAAGAAATTACTATTAAAGAAATAATTATTTAAAAGAAATGAACTATTTAACAAACCCCAAAACAATTAACTGGCTATTTTTACCAATTTTAAAACTTTACAAAACAAACCAAACCAAATTACTTGTTAGATTAAAGACTTTTGATGCTTTGAAAAGTTTGAAATCTTTTGATTTATATGATCAATGTTTCCTAATGCGTTTTCTAATGCTTTTTCTAAAAGGCATTTAAACTACCGTAATCCCAGCGCTAGTTTACATTCGATCTTCTCAATTTTGGTCTGATTCGACGAGGCTCAGACAATCTGATCTCAGCTCAGACAATCGAAATTTGAGCTGATCCGTAAACTGACGACTAGATTAGCTTTAGAGCTTTAGAGCTTAGAGCTTTAGAGCTTTAAAAACGATTAGCCAAGAGAAAGATACGGTACTCCTTAAATGATACAATGAAATACTGTACATAGTACTTATCATAAACACAGTAAACACTCTAATCGTACCCCATCTCTATAATGTGGATTGTTGCTTAGTCTAGCTTTGAACGAGTTTTTCTCGACATTGATTTATGCTATAATGCGCGCTTAGGTATCAAAAAATAGCTGAAATTCAGAGCTATTTTTTGATACTAAAGACGCATTTTTTGAAAGTACGATGAAAAAAAATGAAAGCCTAAAAAAATTTTGCCATTACCCGGGTTACTTTTCGAGTATTTACCGTACTTATATGTACTATATTCTGAAAAGCAGTCATGCTATAGGTTTTTTTGAGATAAAACTAACATTAACTCTGACTCAATTCTCAGCTCATTCACTTGAAAAAGCTTTTTCTAAAATTCCTTCCAAAATTCTAAAAGAAAAATCCAAAAATCCAAAAATCCAAAAAAAATTCCTTTTTACGAGGTATTATTAAATGATTTAATAAAAAATAATAAAAATAATCGATATAAGCAATGAAAATTTGGAAAAAAAACATTTGCAGCTCTGAAATAATGAGAGAAAAAAAAAGAAAAATGACAATGACAATGAATTTTTTTTGAGCTAAAAGTCAAGTTGAATGAAAGCTCAAGTGATTCAAATGATTAGAGCTGCGGGGCGTTGTTTCAATTGAAAAGAAATCGTCAAAAGCAAAAACAAACAAAAAAAAAAAAGAGTTTTCTAGACTAGCCAAAGAATATTTGCAAAATTTCTTAAAGTGAATCGATAACTTGATTGATCAGCTTGATTATTAGTTAAATTTCGAAACGAAACTTTTGATTCATCTGCTTGAATCTATTTTATTTGTGATAATAAAGCTTTAAGAATGAAATGGATAATGGAAAATGATTTGAATAATGGAAAATTCGATCGAAAGTCACTGCACCGACTTGATCACTTTGATAGCATAGTTTTCGATTCGTACTTAACTAATCAGCAAGCTTTTGTTTACCAAATTATAGAGGGGAATTTCAGCTTTCGAATGGCATATAGCACTTATTGATACAAAATAAATATCTTGAGAAATTTCCAATCCAAAAAACATACATGATTTTTCGGATAACCTAATGCAGTCGGCTCTCGATAAAACGAAAATTCTCAAAAATGCTCTTGGTTTTTAGCGTAGCTGCCCAGCCAAATGGTTTTTGCTGCCCAGCTGCCCAGCCAAATGGTTTTTGCTGCCCAGCTGCCCAGCCAAATGGTTTTTGCTGCCCAGCTGCCCAGCCAAATGGTTTTTGCTGCCCAGCTGCCCAGCCAAATGGTTTTTGCTGCCCAGCTGCCCAGCCAAATGGTTTTTGCTGCCCAGCTGCCCAGCCAAATGCAATTGTTGACCGTTCAGGGCAGCTACGCAAGAAATTAGGGACACACTTTCGGAATCGTTAAATCGAAATTTCTCGTCTCAAGCTTTGGAGTAGTTAAATTTGAAAAACAAAATTTGAGCTGCTTTTCTTGAAACTTAAATTTTAAAAATGAAGCATAATTCAACGAGAATCATCTCGAAAATCAAAATTTTGTGTCAATTTTGAAAGATTTTTGAAATATAACTACAAAGTTTTCAAGTAAATAAAGTCTCCTTTTGCAGTTTTTAAAAATTTCATATCAAACAAGCGATTGAGGAAATTTCGAAACGAAAAAGACGCTGATTAGCTTGAAAATTGAAGATTTCATATTTCATGCCGCCAAAACTTTAAATCGATTCACTCTAAGAAGGTTTCTTTGGGAAAGAAAAACGAAAATCGCCATCTTGCCATCATTTCCCTCCTCTATCTTCTTTGCAATTCTTGTCGAATCACATCGATTATTTCTTGTTTCGCTCGAGAGATCTCCTCTCGAACCTCGAGCATCAGATCGGCGCGGAAACGCTCGAGGAATTCGGGGGTCAGCTGGAAAAAAAAAACTGTATAAATTGATCAAAATTCATGATAACATCGAAAATACTAGGATGAGGAAAAATTCCTGAATCAGCTGGGAAAACTTGGATTCATTAATCCAAAATTCAATCCAAATACAAAAAAAAAACTCAACATTTCTTCGTTTTCAGTGAGGAATTTAAAAATTTAAATTTCAAAGTATTTAGTAGATAGAATATTTGTTCAATGTTTTTCAATTGATTTTCAATTGATTTCATCGACTTTCCACTCACCGTCGGATTCCCGTTTTGTGTGCCATCCAATGTGGAAATCGATGAAGTTGAGGGGAGTCTAAATAGCAATAGAAAATACATTGTTCGAATGTAAATCTAAAAATATAAACAGTTCATACTTATCGATAACACTGATCTTTTTTATGCAAATTTGCAAGTTTTTATGCACTTATCAAACGCTCAAAGAAAAAAAAAAGTGATAAACTTAAACGTTTTTCTACTAATAAGTTGATTATTAGTGGATTATTTTTGCGATGACGGAACCGGGGAATTCTAGATGGTTGGGGTACTTTAAAGGCTTTGGATTAGAGTGTATTCCTTGCGAGTAAGTAATTACTCGAGTAAAATTTGCATGAGTAATTTTTACTCGATTAATCGACTTTTTTTTCGTCGAGTAACTACGAATAATCCTCTTTACACGACGAGTAAATTCAATCTCTTTACATTGGAAGGGAATTTGCCCACCAAATCAGTTAAACAGCCGAGTATCTTTAAAAAGCGTCGTATATAGCGCGGCGCTCGTCATTTTTGCGTCTTTTTTTGCGATAATTTTTGCTAAAGGAGTACGGTAATTTTTTCCCAAGTGTGCGTTTTAAAAAACGCAGGAACAGGAACACACTCTAGTTTGGATATCCGTGCGGGTTATGGTTGGATACCCTTAGACTTGTGTCATGGTTGGATACCCTTAGACCGTGTCATGGCTGGATACCCTTAGACATGTGTCATGGCTGGATACCCTTAGACCTGTGTCTTGGCTGGATACCCTTAGACATGTGTTATGGCTGGATACCCTTAGACATGTGTCATGGTTGGATACCCTTAGACATGTGTCATGGTTGGATACCCTTAGACACGTGTCATGGTTGGATACCCTTAGACCTGTGTCATGGTTGGATACCCGTTGACATCTGTCATCTAATCGCCGAATGCATTCTAGCAAACGAATTTTGTTTTCTAAAACGTGGATATGATGATTTTACGCTTTAGAAAACAAAAGTTGTTTGCTAAAATGTATTTGGCGACCCGATGGCACATGACTAGTATCGCACGGCTCCTCAACTTTGCACGATCCTTCGGTCAGAAAGTGTTTTTTTAATCGAGAGAGCATACTTTAAACTATATTATAAATAAAAAAAAATATTACAAACCCTTCCAAATAGCTTCTTGTTTGTATATTTGAAAACGGTCAGTGTAATCGATAAGTGCAAAACAATTTAATAGTGCTAGAAATGACTCACTTTCTGTGCGCTTTCGGGCTCTCAATAGCCGTGGTTGTGGAATTTCCATTTGTGGTTGCACCGTTTGTCTGAAAAGTTTCCAGTTTTAAATGAATCGATTATAAAACGGCTATTCCTTAATACTCTCAAAAATTGCTATTATATCAATTTGCTAAATAGGGAAAATATTGTGTAACGTTCTCTGCGCTCCTTTAAGCTACAGTGTACGCTTGGATTTCAAATGATAGCCCTTAAATTTTAGTTTTATTTTGAAATAACGCACTAAGTTAACTTGTTATAAAGTTTTCTAATGTAAAACAACTAAAAGATGAGTCAAGTTGGAGGTATTGGGTTGGGGAGAATGAGTCGGCGCCGAAATTTAAAGAAACTTTTTGCACCCATAAAACCTTCTTTAAATACACGTTTTGTTTCATCAAAATGGTCCACTATTTCTTTACAAAATGGCTTTTGAGAGATTCCACAAAGCTTTTCTTTTTTGGGATTTGATGGATTCCCAAACACAGCTAATCAAAATGACAAAAAGTCCGACTCATTGCTTGAACAGTTTCTTCCACATAAACCTCCTTTGGTGTTTATATAAAAAAGATAGAGCACACTCAATTACATAAGTTACCAAATTTTCAGGAAGATCCCTCCAACTTTACAATAACTTTCTTTTGCTTAAGTCATCAATTGAGTTATACAATTATGATGTAAGCATGCATACGCTCCATTCACCATAAGAATATGTAGATGGCGAATGAAATTCTCCCCCTTCATTCACCATCTATTGGGTTGGGGAGAATGAGTCGGCGCCAAACTTTAAAGGGACTTTTTGCACACATAAAGCCTTCTTTAAACATACGTTTGGTTTCATCAAAAGGATCCACTATTTCTCTACAAAATCACTTTTGAGAGATTCCACAAAGCTTTTCTTTCGTGGAGTTTATGAACTTCCAAAAGCAGCTGGTTAAAATGGCAAAGAGTCCGACTTGAACAGTTTCTTCCACATAAACCTCCTTTGGTGTTTATATAAAAAAGATAGAGCACACTCAATTACATAAGTTACCAAATTTTCAGGAAGATCCCTCCAACCGTTTACTCTAGATGACAGTTTATCGATTTTGTGAAAAAAAATTATCCTTGTTGAGTTGAGGCGCTGTTTGAGTTCTCTTTTAAATATTATTTTGTAGAGAATTAGTTACCCTTCTACGGATATCAAACGCATAACATTTGACAAAGTCTGCTATAAGTTTTAGAAATTTCTTTGATTTTCGGCGCCGACTCATTCTCCCCAACCCAATATTTGAATTTGGAAAGCATCGAGCTAAGTACCGATAGCTTATTATTAGACAATTGTCAATGTTTGCAGTCATCTAAAAATCTTGTTCCCTTAAGTACTCTAATCGAACGCCATAATGACAGGCGTACAATCGCGTAGTCTAACTTTGAACGTGCGGTTCTCTGCGCTCCTTTAAGCTACAGTGTACGCTTGAATGTCAAATGATAGCCCTTGAAATCTAGTATGTTTTAGTACTAAAAGTGTAGTTAGGAAAAATCTAGGAACTGAGAAAGAAATGATAAAAAGAAAAGAAGCGACTGTACGAGGCGTTCTATTAGATTATTTATGGTATATTCTTTTAGAAAACGAAAAGCTTCTTTCTGATTCAGCAATGAATTTCGATTTCCTATACTTTTTTCTTCTTATTAAACATACGTCAACAATTACTCAACAACAATTTGCAAAAATGCGTCAACAATTACTATAGCAAGAAAATTAAAGAATTAAATGCAGTAGAAAGGGTGCGTTTGCAAGTTTGAGCACAAGGGTACAAGGTAGCTTTTGTTTCGAATGAGATGTTAAAATGTGATTCACTTCTCACCTTAACGGGTTCCCATTTCTTCACGGGTACATTGCTGATTGGAGGCGGTGGGCGGATATCCGATGATGATGAGGTGCCCGAATCAGCAGAACCTATATTTTTTTCACGTTTTAAGCACCAAAGAGTTTATTTGAGGCATTGATCGCAAAAGTAACGTTTCAATGTTTCAATATTATTGATGTTATCGATGTTTATGTTACCCTATTTTCTCTAATAGTAGTGCACCCTGAGCGTCGTCTAAATTGCTCGAAATCTCGAGAACCGCTTATCAGAACCAATCGATGTGGGGTCGGAAAATGTAGCTGACAATGAGATCTAGTAGGGGATTTGAGTGTTGAGCTTCTGTGAAAGATTAGAAACTGTAAAATAGTCACCAACTTGGCTCGCCGGGGTGCACTACTATTAGAGAAGTGCTTTTGCTTTTTCGGTAAGTGCTTTTTCTTTAATCTCTCCATCAGTTGAATAACTCTAATTCATGTAAAATACAAAAATTGTTTATAAATTTGTTTCGATATTCTTGTCGATTGAATATTTCGAATAAATTAGCATATCGTAAGCTCAAATTCGAATTTTCTTACTCACCATTCGATATATTGCTTTTGTTGTCTTGCGAATCACTCTGCGCTTTCGTGTTTTTCCGTTTGTTCAGCGTTTGCATCAACTCAGCCATCATGTTACCTGTAAATTTTCAGAATTTTTAAAGCAACTCATAATTGAAATTGTAATTGAAAATTAAAACTAAAAACTAAAGCTGAAGATGATTAAGATTAAGAGTTAAAAATAGCTTTTAAAATCAACGACTTGTTCAGCTTAAAACTTGAAACTTGAAACTTGAAACTTGAAACAAGTGTATTGGAAAGTATTGGAGATCCAATGGAAAGAGATCCAATACACTTGTTTTAAGTTTTAAGTTTTAAGCTGAACAAGGCGGGAATTGGAAAGTATTGGAAAGTGAATTTTCTTGAAAAACTTACCACCTCCTCCACTTGAAGCTGCTTGTTTCTCTTCGGTCAAACTCTGACTTCTCATCTCTTTTTGCGGATTCGCCACATTTCCCACTCCATTTGATTCTTTTGGTGTCGTCTTTTTCAGGGTAATGCCTCGAGCTAAAGAAAGTTGAGATTACGATTTGACCGTATTGGAACCGTATTAGATCAAAATAGGAAGCGTATTGGAACCGAATTGGAATCGTATTGGAACCGCATTGGAACCGTATTAGATCAAAATAGGAACCATATTGGAACCGTATTGGAACCGTATTGGAACCGTATTAGATCAAAATAGGAACCGCATTGGAACCGTATTAGATCAAAATAGGAAGCGTATTGGAACCGAATTGGAACCGTATTGGAACCGTATTAGATCAAAATAGGAACCGTATTGGAACAGTATTGGAACCGAATTCTCGAGCTAAAGAAAAGTTGAGAAACTGATTTTTTGCACTTGCAAACCTACTTTCAAATGCAAAAATTGATCAGAGAATCAGAGAATTGATTAAAATAATTCTTTATGAGAGAATTGACTAAAATCTTTCTATTTCTGTCTATTTGTTTTTAACGAAAAAAAAATTTCTATTTGCTTTCTTGCTAAACAACAAAAAAATCTTGCAACAAACACTAAATTTCAAGAAGTTTTGAAGACTTTAATGGCAAGTTAAGTGTCGCTTTTTACTAGAATCTGAAAGTTATAGAAGCTATAGAATTCTATGAAATTCTATGAAATTCAGTAGCACAAAATTCTTACCAATTTCAGCGGCAAGCCCGCCACCTGCTGAGGCGATTGGTGGTGGCGGAGGCGGGGGTGGAGGAGGAGCGGGAGCGCCTAAATATTCAATTCTGTAGACTTTGTGTTTTCTATTTTTACACCTAGCTTGGTCATGTCGTATTTTGAGTTACTGTATTCAGTGGGTCTTTAGACAAAAAAAAACATTTCATTCGAATCATTATTGTTAGCAGTTTTAGCACGAAAAAAGCCATTCCTATTCTGAAAAATGTACAAAATGCGGGTTCTGTGGACTGGAAATGGAGAAATGGTTGAATGAAATGAAAGTTTTTTTTGGGGTGAAATTCAATGTTTCAAATTAAAGAGAACACGAAATTCAATGTTTCAAATTAAACGACTAAGTTGAAAGTATTTCTCAGTAAATCTCTTTCCAAGAGTAAGTCGAACTTTCCGTCGTTTATCAAGTGTTTTCTGGGGTCAATGCAAGTCGAGCCAAGTTCAAAAATAGTCATTTAAGCGCGCGATCGTGTTGTATCAAATGCAGATATAAGAATTCTTAACTTAAAGAATTAATGGAAATGAATAACTACCGCAAATAATTTGCTAATTTGATATGCATTTGATACGGAAGTGCGCAGATCTGGTGTCAAGATCTGAGCGTTTGTTTTCAGAGTAAACTTAGACGCCACGCTTTTATAGGGCTTCAGTGATCGTCTGAAAGCCTGTATCAAAGCCAAGGGATTCAATTTTGAACACTTGTTATAAATTTGAATTTTTGGTTATTTATCTGTTATTTTTTTTCAATAAATATGTTAAAAGCTCAATTTTGATACATAAAAGACAATAAAAGACAATACTTTTATTGTTTTTTATTGTCTCGGAACCTGTATTAGAATACTTACCGTAGTTTATTATTTAGTTTATTCGTTTAACCAGTTAACTAACCAGTTGCAATTGGTGGAGGCGGTGGTGGGGCGGGTGGAGGAGCGGCAACGGGTGGAGCTGGTGGAGCGGGTGGTGGAGGAGGAGGAGCTGGGGCTGGGGCTCGAGATGGAGAGGCCACTGAGGTCTAAAGGGAAATAGAATAATGCAAAGATAAAAGATAAATTAGAGACACTTTGACTCAAGATAGCTCTGGCAAGATTATTATGGTTTTGAGAAAGTAAAAGTTTCAATTTTATGGGAACTCAGTGCATTTCGGTTTCATTAATTTTTAGCAGCATAGTTTTCAATCTTTTAAAAGTAAATATGTTAATAATTATATAATTAAATGAAATTAAACTATATAATTTATATAATTAAATAATAAATTGAATCCGAATAAGCAAATCAAACATTTCTGTGCGTTTTTTGAAACTCACACCCAATTTTTTCGATTGCTTTTGCGCGAACACGCGCACTGTGGCCATAAAGGCTTGACGAAGCAGCAAGCGCACCGATTTTTCTTTCATTTTTATTCGAAAATATAAATCAAATGAAATGAATAACTTTTTGAGTGAAAGCAATTGTTTTCTGAGTTGTCGAAAATTTGCAAATTTTTTGCCGATGGCTTTGAATTTCATTTTTTATCCTCTTTCGCCCCTTTTGTCTAAACAAACATTCGAAACATTCCCCCGTTTAAGGCCAGATAAGTCGGTCAACAAATAGAAATCATTAGAGAGCTGAAGGGGGAAAAGGGTGATGTTTAGCGCAAGAAAATGAGCAATGATTTGATGGAGAATTAAGCAAGAAAACAGCAACGATAATCTTTATGATTTGGGAACGATTTCTGAAGCAATTTTCTCAGCAATAATCACTCTAAAATGAGTCAAACTTGATGAAGTTGAACAAAGAAATTCATTTTTATAACTAATCCACTTTCTAAAAGACATCCATTTTCGAATTTCCATTCATCTTTTCATTCGATCAGCCCAATTTTGGTAACACTCGACGGGGAATCAAAAAGCTCAGTCAATGGAATCAAAAGGCTCAGTCAATGGAATCAAAAGGCTCAGTCAATGGAATCAAAAGGCTCAGTCAATGGAATCAAAAGGCTCAGTCAATGGAATCAAAAGGCTTAGTCAATGGAATCAAAAGGCTCAGTCAATGGAATCAAAAGGCTCAGTCAATGGAATCAAAAGCCTCAGTCAATGATATCAAAAGCCTCAGTCAATGGAATCAAAAGGCTCAGTCAATGATATCAAAATTGCCCTAATCGAATGCTGATTATGGTAGTTTTTCTAAAATAGGTGTCTTTTAGAAAGCGCATTCTACTCAGAATCTTTATAGTTATTCTTTTTTTCAAGCACGAGAGTGATAAGAGTTAAATTTCAACAGCAAAACCCCGATTTTCACGTTTCAATATTGCGCTTAAAGTACCTAGGAAAAAGGGGTTCATTTTTAAACGGGAATTTAGATATCCAGATCATTTAGGTACCTGTGCATTGTAAGGATTGGGCATCATCGTGTTCTGACTGTTTTGACTGCTGATGCTGCTGCCCTGGAAAGAAATATGTAGGGGAAATTTCAGAATTCAAATTTCAGCATTCAAATTCAGCATTTCAGCATAAATAATTCTTTTCAAAGAGCTAACACTTTAGCTTGATACTTTTGAAAGATTGCGTAAATGGATATTTTTGACAAAGCAAGAGTTGAACACGACGGTTCTTTTATGAATTGCGGTTGAGAATACCGGCGCCAGGATTCGAACCTTCTCGCTTACCGGGCGAACGCTCTACCAATGAGCCACACAGGTAAGTGCCACATTGCTGCCAAGATAGGGCCTTATGCCTTACTACAAGAGCAAGATCTAGCTTGATTTTTATTAGGAAAGAATGGTGATGACTTGTTAATCTTTTGACTCTAAAAAGCGGAGGGATTAAAGCATTGAAAATGACCAGAGCTTCCATTAAGTTGAAACATCAATTTTTCAATTTCAAAGCGCTAGTGAAATTAGCACATTTGTCTGATTCAAGTTACTTTAAATTGGCTAGTTAACACCCTCTGGAGTAGGGAGATCGAGTGCGTTGTGGTGTAGTGGTTAGCATAGCTGCCTGATAAGCGAAAGGTCGCGGGTTCGAGTCCCGACGCCGGGCAAATTTTTGATTTGCCCTTTGTTTCGTTGCAATGATATTTGCGCTTTGTTTTGTTGCATGTTCCCTCTAAGATAAAGAAATTAGACGAACAAGTTAATAAAAAAATATCTTGTAAAGTCTAATAACTAATAACTAGTAAACAAAAGTTAAAATAAGCAGAAAATTTTCAATTTCAAAGCTGTATTAGTTTCGATTTCTAATGACTAAGCTAATAAGCTTTTCCCTTGTGCATTTCTCACTTGTGAGGCTCGTCGATTGATCGCTGAGAGAGCATTCGGTTGTTGATGGGAAGATTGATTGTGAGTCATCAACATTGGATGTGTTTGTGGTGGTTGAGAGGCTTTGCTGAAAAAAAAATGGATTTTTGAAGTTGAATTAATATTGAAAACATTGGACTAATAATATAAAGAAAATTTGGTTTTGATTCTTTTGATTTACGATAAGAAACGAGTCACAAATTTGGTCATTATTCACTAGAGTACTCAGAAATGAAAGCATTCAGCCGACAAGGTTGAATATCTTTAAATATTATTACAGTAGTTTTTTCAAAAATACCGTATTTACTCTATTAGTGGGGTCCCCCACTATTTTTTCAATCCCCTTCCAGACGACCCCACTATTAGAGAAATTTAAAAGAACATAAAACCAAAGTTTTAAGTTGAAAAGATATCAATTTTTCTCCGAAATTCTTGACAAAACAAGTTTGGCTTCATATTTTATTTAGCTTTAACCGTAACAAAACATTAACAAACAGTAAAAGAACTAATCCAAGAGATCAACAATTGATGTATCACTTTCGTTACCAATATTAGAGAGGACCCCACTATTTTTTCAACCCCCCTCCAGACGACCCCACTATTAGAGAGGACCCCACTATTAGAGAGGACCCCACTATTAGAGAGGACCCCACTATTAGAGAGGACCCCACTATTAGAGACGACCCCACTATTAGAGACGACCCCACTAATAGAGTAAATACGGTATCCAAACTAGCCGGTCTCTATTAGTAAGCATTAGCATAAGCAGTTAAGTTAAGTTAAGTTTCAAAATCTGTAATCACTAGTCTTGCTAATCGGAGAAGACAGTAGATGCGTCATCTTTCCTTATTTTGTATTCTATTAGTATCCAGCTATTCTATAGTAAATTAAAATGATCTATTTCCAATCTATCTATTAAAAATTGAAATCTATTTCCAAAGAAAGCAGCAAAAATGCTATGCAAAATCGTCGTGATTCATTGTTTGTGAATTCTTTTGAATTTTGAATTGAATTCATTCAAATTTCCCCTATTTTCAGCAACAAGAATAACAAATTTTGTCAAAACAAGAAAAGAAACTGGTTTTTTCTTTGAGTAAAAATCCGGAAATTACTTTGCACTTGTGCAATAGTATAGTATGTTTAAGAAACAACATAATAAAGTTGTTTTTTAAATTTTTACAACTCTCTAATTACCATTTGATTCCTATTTTGAATTGGAAATGATATATCAATGATACAGTAACAGTAAAGTAAACTATAGTACACGTAAAGGACTAGATTTCAGTTTCAATTCGAAAGTTTTTTTTATTTTTAATAAAAAATGGGATTTCTATCATTGCATAGTTTTTTCGCACTTGCTCTTTTAAAATATATGTCACGTCCGATTTAGAACGACCGAATCTATTCGTATCCGATAGAGCTTGTAACTTGTAAACTACTATATATAAAGGGACTGAAACGTCTATCTATCTATCTATCTGTCCATCTGAATGTCTGTTCATCTGTTTATCTATCTGTCTGCCTGTCTGTCTATCTGTCTATCCGTCTGTCCATCTGAATGTCTGTTCATCTGTTTATCTATCTGTCTGCCTGTCTGTCTATCTGTCTATCCGTCTGTCCATCTGACTGTCTGTTCATCTGTTTATCTATCTGTCTGTCTGTCTGTGCACATTACTCCTCCGCGCCCAGGGCCGTTTCCAATGATTTATAGTTAGTTTGGCTTAGAATTTCATGTAGTTATGCGACATGTTTTCTAATTTTTAAAAAAACCAAAAGTGACGACGCGGGCGGGAGTCAAACCCGGGTCGTGTGGGCTAGGGACGAGTGCGCTCGCACTGCGCCATCTACATGGCCGACTGGCTAACGCGCACGTCTCTTAAACGAACGAAAGAGAAAGGTCTCGGGTTCGTCTTCTCTCGCCGCCCATTCTTTTGATTTTTGCTGCAAAACAGCAGCGAAGTTTCTTGTTTGTATTCGAATATATTTTAGATACGATTCAATGCAGAATCTTTTGCTCTACAAAACTAGCCAAAGAACGTAAAAATTGGTTCAGTAGAAATAGTGGTAAAGCAAACTCGTTAAACTTGCACAATTGTATCTAAAGTCCCTAGGCAGGCTACAAGTATATAATTTTACAGTTTATCTAGCTACAATAGTTCTTTCTAAACTAAAGTCAAAGTCTCTTCTAAATCGGACGGAATCTATTTTTTTAAGACTCAGATTTCGTTTTTCAATATAATCAACACCTATAGTTAGTTTGTTTCAAAATTTTGTAAAAACAATTACCGATAATTCATTGGATCTTGTTGCTCGTGTTGATATTGCGGGGGGATGCCTGATGAGTTTTGATGGAGAAATGATGGAGCCGAGACATTGTGATGAATGGATAGGGGCGGCTGATTTGGATCCTGATAAACGGCATCTAAACAAATAGCATTGCTCAATCCGAAAACTTTTCTTTTTCTTGTTGTTGGATTTTATTTGTTGATTTTATAGGAAAAGATTTCTTTTATAGAAAAAGATTTCTTTTGAGTTGAAATCTTTTAAATAAGCAGCTTGTAAAATTTTGTGTTTCAAAGTTTTTAAAATCAGATTTAATGTCAGATTTAACTCAATCGAAGGTACACTACTGGACAATGAAATATCATATTTGAAAAAACACTTTCGCACTTTCAATGACGCACAGACGGACAGACGTCTTTATATATAATAGATTAAGTCAAAGTGCTGTATAAGTTGAAATATTTAAAGTAAAATGATTGATTTATTGATCTAAAGCGATCTAAAAAGGTATGTACAGTATTGGACAAGGAAATATCATATTTGAAAAAACACTTTCGCACTTTCGCGCGTCTGTAACTCCCTTGTCTTTGAGTTTAAACTATTAGTGTTATACATTTTCTGAAAGCTCTTTTCAAGGGCTACACAATGGTAATATTAATATTTAGAAATACGGTAAAGACAAGGGAGTTACAGACGCGCGAAAGTGACGATCTTTTTTCAAATATCATATTTCATTGTCCAGTAGTGTATTTGAATCAAAATTTATCAATTTCCTTTGCAACCTGTTCACAAAATTCATAAAAATTGGATTCAATTTGTTTCTAGTTTTCTAAAACTCTAGATTTTAAAGTGAATACAAAAAAATCAACCTTTTTTTGGTTTTTAATGACCTTCAAAAAATTTAGGTTTCAAATGATCAAATTGATCGAAATCAATTGATGTCTATATTCATTTATTTATCATAGACACTCTATACGTCTGTAACTTCCTTGTCTTTACCGTATTTCTAAATATTAATATTACCATTGTGTAGCCCTTGAAAAGAGCTTTCAGAAAATGTATAACACTAATAGTTTAAACTCAAAGACAAGGGAGTTACAGACGCGCGAGAAAGTGCGAAAGTGTTTTTTCAAATGATATTTCCTTGTCCAATACTGTACATACCTTTTTAGATCGCTTTAGATCAATAAATCAATCATTTTACTTTAAATATTTCAGCTTATACAGCACTTTGACTTAATCTATTATATATAAAGACGTCTGTCCGTCTGTGCGCAGTCATTGGCAAAAAGGGGCGGGGCTTAGAGGCTTGCGCGGGAAACGTGAACGTTATTGAGCGTTTTCCGCTGGTTTTTATAGAAAATCAGATTAAAATTCTATCTCGTACCATCTTTTTTCAAAAAAATCGGCACCACATTCGTCGAGAAATGCTCGTCTTTTGTGGTAGACGAGGTGGGATGACAACAGAAATGACACAATGTCATCGGATATTCGAAAGCTGTAGAGATTTCGAAATATTGGAGAGGAAATTGAATTGAAAAGAAAAAGATAAGATAGAAAACTAGCTGACTTTAAGAATTTAAAGCTGACTTTAGGCAGAATGAACTTGAGAGATTTGTTCTGTTTTTGAAAACCGATTGCTTTCCATGTAATAGATTAAAAAAGCACCTATCATCTCTACTTTAATTTGATACATAAGTGTACAGAAACAAACGTACTAGTGCTGAGGTATGAGCGTACGGAAACAAACGTACTAGTGCTGAGATGTGAGCGATTCTTTAAGTGTAAACTTATGACTACGCGACGCTCCTATAGAACTTTTCCTATTAAAGTTGAAAAGAGGTATGTGGAAAAGAGAATTTAGCTTGAAAAGTGATTTCTGTTGTTGTGCGTGAATGTTTTCTGTAAATGGGTGCTGAGTTTAGTCAAGAGAGTCGACTGATCTCAAGTGGGTTTTGTTTGGTTGGGAATATGTGTGGAAAAGTCGGGAATAGCTGAAAAGGAGAAAAATGGAATGTAAAACGCAAAAACGGTAGCCACTTTTGGATGAAAGAATGGGAAAGTAATCGTATAAAGGGCTTAAAAGTCAGTTAAATCTTAAGATTTAAGCGAAACCGACATCTAATTATGGTGATTTCCATTTGACCGATTGACAATGAGACTTTAAAGCTTAAAAGTAAAAGCTTAAAGCTTAAAAGTAAAAGCTTAAAGCTTAAAAGTCGAATCTTAAAGCTTTAAGGCTTAAATCTTAAGATTTAAGCAAGTTATTGATATAAATGTTTCCTTGAAACGATTGAAAATGAGTATTTAAAGCTTAAAAGTCAAATCTTAATGCTTAAGAGTCAAATCTTAAGAATTAAACATTTTTCGAATTTAAATTCCTGTTTATTTCATATTCATTTTCGTAAAATGGCGAAGCTAATGGCTAAGCCGTGAGAGATTTTCCTGAAAAGCCTCTCTAAACTCACAAAATCGTTAATCTAAAAGGAAAAAACAAGAAAATCATTCAATTTCATATTCTTGTTTACAAGTTATTGATATAAATGTTTCCTTGAAACGATTGAAAATGAGAATTTAAAGCTTAAAAGTCAAATCTTAATGCTTAAGAGTCAAATCTTCAGAATTAAGCAACACTTAGACCAACTGGCCACTAAATTTGATAATTTCCATTTGATCAACCAAATTTTGAAACCCAACTTTTTTTGCAAACTTCAATTTCATTTTCAGCGTCGATTCATAGCTAAATTGTAGTAGTAAAGTGAAATTAATTTCAATTTCAATTTCTTTCTAATCAAAGAAAGTTCTGAACAATAATGAGCTTTGTATAAACCCGAAAAATGAAATTGAATTCAATTGAAAAGTTTGCAAAAAAAGTTAGGTTTCAAAATTTGGCTGATCATGGAAATCAAATGGAAATTATCAAATTTAGTTGTCGGTTGATCTAAGGCTTGCTTAAATCTTAAGATTTAAGCCTTAGATCAACCGCAAGCCTTAGATCAACCGATCTTAAGATTTAAGCCTTAGATCAACCGCAAGCCTTAGATCAACCGATCTTAAGATTTAAGCCTTAGGTCAACCGCAAGCCTTAGATCAACCGATCTTAAGATTTAAGCCTTTAAGCTTTAAGATTTTACTTTTAAGCTTTAAATTCTCATTTTCAATCGTTTCATGGAAACATTTATATCAATAACTTGTAAACAAGAAGATGAAATTGAATGATTTTCTTGTTTTTTCCTTTTAGATTAACGATTTTGTGAGTTTAGAGAGGCTTTTCAGGAAAATCTCTCACGGCTTAGCCATTAGCTTCGCCATTTTACGAAAATGAATATGAAATAAACAGGAATTTAAATTCGAAAAATGTTTAAATTTTTTATATCCATTGTTTCAAGAAAAAGAACATGAAATTTCGAATTTCAGAACGAAACGAGAGAAAATCTTTTGAATGCATTGTCGAAAATGTTATGTTTCAAGTGGAAAGGAGAAAAAAAATCGAAAAAGACTTTAAACAGAGAATTTTTCTCGACCGAAAATACACAAATGAATATTTCATTGAGGAGGAAAGGCCTTTTTCGACCGAATTTCTTTTTTTTTTGACCCTTTTTCTATGAATTAAATGAAGTGTTTCAAAATCGATAAAGTCAGGGAAAGCACTAGGGAAAGTAATCTGCTTAAATTGCTTTAATGCTTAAAGAAAGCTTAATAAAAGCTTAAAGAAAGCTTAATAAAAGCTTAAAGAAAGCTTAATAAAAGCTTAAAGAAAGCTTAATAAAAGCTTAATGAAAGCTTAATAAAAGCTTAATGAAAGCTTAATGAATGCTTAATGAAAGCTTAAAGAAAGCTTAATAAAAGCTCTAATAATTTCTTCTAATCCAATTAAAGCAATGATGTGGTAATGATTTGAGTGATTCGAAAATGAAAAGTAAAACTATTATAAGAAATGTTGTAAGAAATGTTGTAAGAAATCTGTTCAAGACGAATCGAGTCATCTTCAAAGCTTTGACAATTCAAGGACATAAAAGCAAAAAAAAGGATCTTTTCAGGTGAAAAGACACGCTTTTTCACGTCATTCCCTTTTCTGGTCAACTCCTTTGCTTTTTCTCGTTTTTTTTTCTTCTTCGTCTTTTGATACAAAAACAGTGTAAACATTGAATCCAGTACTGGGAAAAGAGAAAAGAAAGGCAAAGAAATCAGACATGATCTGACCGATCAACAGCAACAGATTACCAACTTTCGAATGCTTTTTCTAAAGCCTGCAACTTTCTACTGTAATCTTGACTCAATTTTGTCATCAAATCTATCCACTCTCTCAATCATTCTTTGTATCCTTTGTGTATCTGATTAGAATCAGAATAAAAGTAAATTATATTGAGAAAAATGAGGCAAGATTATCTAGAAAGAGAAAGAAGACACGTTTTAGAAATCTTTCTCTATTACAATAGCTAAAGATTCTGACTTGATTTGCTTACCGATACAAATGGCAAGCTGGCAGATGGAAAGCTTTAACCGTTCAGATCATTCAGTTCAGTTCAGAATTATACAGAATAAACTTTCTTATCGATATTATCAATACAAGCGGCATGCTCATCTTTAACCCTTCAGATCTCAGCTTCTAAAACAGCTATCAATCTGAAAATTGTCTCATTGAAAAGTCAAGAATGCCAGCTTTTGATTGCTATTTTATACATATTAAATTCTCAAGTGAATGCCTTAAAAAGCTTATCAAAACTTCTCGATATCGACTTTTGATATCGATAAGTATCGATAAGGTTTATGAAGTGCTTACTCATTAAAAGTCTTTATGCATTCTTAGCAATCAAAAGCTGGCATTCTTGACTTTTCAATGAAACAATTTTCAGATTGATAGCTTTTTTAGAAGCTGAGATCTGAAGGGTTAAAGATGAGCATGCCGCTTGTATTGATAATATCGACAAGCAAGTCTAGTTTTGGGCTGCGCAACAAGCAACTGCAAAACTTCACTAGAAAGTATTCAAATGTTATCGATTCTATCGATAAGTAAGTTTATTCTGTATAATTCTGCTTTTTAAAATAAATAAAAATAATTTTGAATGTAAATTGAAAACGTTCAAAAATTTTGGACGAATATTGAAAGGGTTGAGAAGTAAAAAAAAAGTGAAAGGAAATTCGAGATTTGAAAAATTTTTTTTTGAAAATGTTAAACAAATAAAAAAGCGGGCTCAAAAAGTGGAAAACGGCACTAAACAATAATCAAAAAATATGCTTAGTTTCAAGTTTTTTTAAAGATAAATTTGCCAAAAAGATAAATTTGCCAAAAAACCAAATTTGTCTTGAAATCAACTGTTTAGCCATCAGAAAAATTTTCAATTAAACACTAAACCTTTTTGTTGGGTTTTCAAGGAGCTGGGAAAAACTTTGAAACACAATTTTGCCTGATTGGCCTCCTAATCGGTCAGCCACCGGTTAGGAGTCTTGTCTTTTAAGCGGAAGGTCTAGAGTTCAATCACGCTGCAAGATATAAATCTTTCTTTTTCCCTACGAAGTGGGTTTTTTTTCTTTCACAACATTTGGGTAATAGGGAAACGACGGCCGCAGTGCCATAAAATTGTGCCTTTAGACCTTTATTACCGTCTTATTACCGTATTTTCTCTAATAGTACTGCACTCCAGCGAGTCGAGTTGGTGACGATTTTACAGTTTCTAATCTTTCACAGAAGCTCAACACTCAAATCCCCCACAAGATCTGATCGTCAGCTACATTTTCCGACCCCACATCGATAGGTTCTAATAAGCGCTTTTCGAGATTTCGAGGAATTTAGGCGATGCTCAGGGTGCACTAATATTAAAAAAAATACGGCATTTATCCTTTGTTTGTATTACGTTCTTGGTTTTCATTAAATTTATTTTTTTAAACTTCAATTCCCACAACTAGTTGAAGCTTTAAAATTCTCAGGAAAACCGACCAGGCACATGATATTCCCCGTTGTTCATCGTTTGTTGCTGCATATTTTTCAGCAAATCCACTGTCCATTCCATTCGTTGTTGAAACGTTTGCGCGTCTTGCTCGGAAGCGAAATTCAGGCCATAGACCTAAAAGTCGAGAATTTAGAGGAGTTTTTCATCGACTTTTGTTGAAATAAGCTTTGCTTTGAACAGTACAAATAGCAAAAAACTTTAAATCTTCAAAGCTGATTAATTAAAAGCAATAAAAAATAATGTCAAGGTGACCTTTCGAGAATTTAGAGGAGTTTTTCATCGACTTTTGTTGAAATAAGCTTTTGCCAGTGTATTTGATAGAGCTTTAAATGAAGATTCCGAATTCGCTTTTAGTTTTCCGAATGGATCTCTGTATCGCAAGATATTTGACATCAAAGTTTAAGACCCGAAAGTCAAAGTTTAAGATCCGACATCATTTCAGCTCAATTCACAACATTGGATGATAGCAGCTGTGGTTTAAAGTTAAGTCCTAAGTTAAGGTAAGTCCAGCCAGAAAAACCCTGGTTTGCTCCAACTTTTTGGAGTGCGGGGAGCGAGTTACCTTTAAAATTGGCCTAAACTTTTTCTGCTCCAACGCTCCAATTTCCTCGCGTTGCCTTGAAATACCTTTTGATAATTTAACTAAAAAAGGGTTAACATAAAGGAGATAACCTTGTAAGCGAGCAAGTACAAAAAACTTGTGAGCGCTCGCACTATCCACTGTGCTACTACTGTACTTACTACTAATAAAATGAGACCAATAACAGCGCCGAAAAATTCACTTAAACTTTGATGCCAGATCTCTTGCGATACAGAGTTCCATTAAAGAAACTAAAAGTGGATCGGGATCCTCATTGAAAGCCCTATCAAGCAATAGCTCTAGCTCTAGCAAATACACTGAATGCGCATGAAAAAGGCCATCTTGACTTAATGCCTTTTCTTAGTTAAAGATTTTTCATCATCTCCTAAAGAAAATAAGTTTCAATATTCTGTATGTTTCATTTTGATATTCAGTATTACATTAGAATCACAATGTCACTGTGTGAAGCTATTGGGGTATTTCTCTCAACAGATTTTCATCTCTTACCTAGCTAAATATGACTTTTTAACTCGGCTAAACGTCAAGTTTAACCCCGTCCCTTAAGATAACTTTGTTCTATTTGTCCAGCTAACTTTTGTACTTTACTTCTACGTTTAAAAGCTAGTAGTACCTGGAGAAAAGTAAACTTTAACATTGCCAAGATGCTTTACAAATAGACTTGAATTATCCACGTATTTTCTGGTTTAATTATCTTTTAGCTTTTTTTTTCTTTTATATCTGAAACCTGTCGATTCTCGTCTCTCCATTGATGAAAAGTGGCACGAGCCGGGTGATATTTGAAGCGTGCGTGTATCCGACAATTCATCAGAATCGCTCCATCCTGAAAAGTTTTGTAAAATAAAGAAAGATGACGCATCTACTGTCTCCGATTAGCAAGACTAGTGGTTGCAAAGTTTGAAATTTAACTAACTTAACTAACATAACTTAACAAACTTAGCTTAACTTAACTGAACTTAACTTAACTTAAATTAACTTAAATTAACTTAAATTAACCTAACTAACTTAACTAAACTAACTTAACTAAACTAACTTAACCTAACTAATTTAACTAAACTAACTTAACTAAACTAACTTAAATTAACCAACTTAACCTAACTAATTTAACTTAGCTAATTTAACTTAATTTAACTTAACTTAACTAACATAACTAACTTAACTTAACTAACTTATCTTAACTAAGCACCCAACCACTCAAGCATTGTCATTTAACAACATTACTTATCATTACTGATTTTGAAACTAGGCTTCTAAATTTGAATTCGAAAATTCGTTCATTCACGTTTCAATTTGTCTTCTCTCTTTCAATCTGTCTTAAAGTTCATCTAGTTGTATTAGGTTGATGCAAAAGTCTTTTTCATTTTTTTCGTACTTCCGTTAAAAAGTAACAAATGCACCAATTGAACAACGGTTTATTGCATTCGAAAGGCCAATTATTTTTCTGCAAAATGACATTAAAACGAGTTTAAAATGTCTTATGTCTAGATTTTTTTGAGAGCCTGAAGTCGGGTAGTCAAAAAAGGCGACGGCTCGATGATGCATTTTAGACGCATTAGCTAAGGAAACCAATCTTGATGTTAATAAATAAAAGATAGAGCACAAAAAGTTAGATATTTTTTGCAGATTTTCAGAGAAATTGATTCAGCCAATTTCTTTATAGAGGTTTTTATAGATTTTTATGAAAAAACCCGTTTTCACTCTCGAATTTGCTTGAAAGTGAACCCAAATTGACTTAAAAAGATGGGAAATTGAACAATAAACACTTTTCATTTAGAGCAAACCATAGGTTAATTGATGACTTTGTTACTTTTCAAAAGAAGTACGAAAAAAATGAAAAAGACTTTTGCATCAACCTAATATACCAAATTCTAAACTTTAAAAACAAAAGAAGTTTGATAAGTTATGTAAATACATTTAAACAATGATAAAACAAAAGAAAAGAATAACATTAGCTTGTAAAGAATTAAAGTTGATGCAATAAATTGAAACCTAAGACTTTCGATGAGATTCGAAAACGTTTTGCGCTAAACTTTACAGCTTTCTCGTGGGTTTTTCTGCATTTGTTTTTAGGTGTAAATTAACTTAACTAAATGAACTAAACTAACTTAAATCAACTTAAATTAACTAACTTAACTAACTTAAATTAACCAACCTAACTTAACTAAACTGGCTTTGTATTATTATTATTATTTGAGAATTTGAAACCTCTTGTCTCGTGGCGATGATGCGAAAAGTTTGCTGCTGAATGTGGTGAAGAATTTGAACACACGAGGCACGACCCTCGGGAAGTCCGTGCGGGGAAACCCAACTGAAAGTGAGTTTTTTTGAAAGAAATATTTCTGAAATTTGTTTTATCATCTATTTTTTTTGCTTATTTTGCAATTAGAAATAAGAATTTGAAAATCATTTGTTGCTTGAACAACTTCTTTCAGCTATTAATAAGATTAAGAAGATTAATAAGATTGGATTGATGGGAGTGATTTGTCGTCAACTTTTAAATTACTCCTTTGACACGACCAATACACCAAATAAATTATGGTTTATTTTACAATAAAGATCTACCTTTTCTCTACAAAATGGCTTTTCGGAGATTTCAAAAAGCTTTTTTTTGTGTGAACTTTATGAATTATCAAACAAAGCTAGCTATTGGGTTGGTCAATTGAAAACTGCGGGATTTTGAACTAAAATTTATTCAACATAAAACCATGAATTCATTCGAAATAATTTCCATTATTATTGACGACTTCTGCCCATTTTACAGGCAATTTGCGGATTCCTCTTTCGTATTAGGATTTTGGTTTGTGTGTGAGACAAGTGTGAGACTCAAAAATCGAGGACTGGAGATGTCCCAGTTTGAGCATTTCAGCACTTTCTTCAAAAGAAACCCTTTTTGGTGTCAATGGAAAAGTTGTAGAGAATCAAAAATTAGGCTTATAGCCAAATTTCCAAAAAGATACACTTAGTAGTTTCGCTTAAAATGCAAGTTTTGTGAAAATTTGGCATTTCTTTTGTGTAGATTTGGCATTTCTTGAAAACTAGTTTTTGAATCGTTCTGAAAATTTGGATATAAGCTTGATTTTTGATTCTCTACAACTTTTCCATTGATACCAAAATGGGTTTCTTTTGAAAAAAGCGCTCAAACTGTCACATATGACAATAGCCCGCAGTTTTCAATTCGCCAACCCAATAGTAAGGAGTTGAACAATTTCTGTCACATCTTCTTTGATAATCTTAATGATAATCACATAATCTTCTTTAATGTCAATAGAAAAAAGATAACGCGTATTCAATTATATACCGTAAATACTGTAATAATACCCCAGCCCCATAATGACGGTGCGGAGTGTTGCGTAGTCTAGCTTTGAACGAGTTTTTCTCGACACTGGTTTATGCTACAATGCGCGCTTTGGTATCAAAAAATAGCCCTGGAATTCAGGGCTATTTTTTGATACCAAAGACGCATTTTTTGAAAGTACGGGCGCTTTGAAAAAAAATGAAATACTAAAAAACTTTGGCGACTACGCGACTGTACGAGGGGGTACTATTACAGTATTTACGGTAAGTCCCCAAATTTTCAGAAAAATCTCTTCACCCGTTTTCACTAGATGTTGATTTTCTAAAAAATTGAATTTTTGTTGAGTTGAGTCGCTGCTTTAGCGTTTCTGCGTTTCTGCGTTCAAATAACATTTTGTAGAAAAGTAGCTAACTTTTCTAATGATACCAATCATTGAGCAAACTCTACAAAAGGTTTTAAAAGTTCCTTTGCTGCGACTAATCCAATATTATAACAAATTTTATATGGCTTTCATTCTCTCGAAATCTCACCTTTTATTCCCTTCATTGTAGAGCATCACCTCCGCGGCCACTTGAGCCACTGCGGTCTCGCTGGAAATAATAAATTAAATAGTTTTTGATGTTTCAAATAAATTCCTTACTAAGATCGATTCTAATTAAATTATTGGGTTGGTGGAAAAGTCCTTTCGGATTTTTTGGGAGAGTATCTTAAATTTGTCGAATTTTGACGTTTTATAGCTCATCCTAAAGCTGAATTCAAGACGGATCGATTGGTAAAAACCGTTTTGAGATATCTCTTTTCTAAAAGTTTTTACAGCTATTTTAGTAAAGGGCGGCAGAGCCAAAAAATGGCTGTTTTCACGTTTCGTTAGTTTTCCGTGCAGAAACCTAGGCTAAAAAACATGTGTTTCGTGATCAGCGTCAAAAATAACCCCTAGACACAAATTTTCAGAATCTTAGCAAAAATCTTTTGCACGGAAAACTAACGAAACGTGAAAACAGCCATTTTTTGGCTCTGCCGCCCTTTACTAAAATAGCTGTAAAAACTTTTAGAAAAGAGATATCTCAAAACGGTTTTTACCAATCGATCCGTCTTGAATTCAGCTTTAGGATGAGCTATAAAACGTCAAAATTCGACAAATTTAAGATACTCTCCCAAAAAAATCCGAAAGGACTTTTCCACCAACCCAATAACTGCTTGGCTTGGCTTGGCTTTTAACAAGTGCTCAATACTATTCCAACAAACAGCTCATTAACCAATGAAACAAAGCTTTTTCCTCCTCCTCCTTTTTTGATCTTTTTTTCTTGAAAATCCACACTTGATATATGAAATTCCCTTTCAAATAACCCATTTCCCCAAATTTTACGTGTACCCCAAATAACCAAATAACCAATATGAACCAACCAACCAAAATAATCAATATGAAATTCCCTTTCAAATAACCCATTTCCCCAAATTTTCCTTGTACAACAAAGGAAATCTATCAATTCTTCACTAAATCTTTTCCCAAACAAGGTCATTTTCTTTTTACGGATTGAGATAAATTGGCTCAATTTGAATACAACCCATTGACAAAGAGTGACAAATTTTAGAGGTCAAAGAGATTTTTCATCAATACAGAAACGATTTTGAGCTTTGTTTAAGCTTTAAGAATTGGGAAAATTCACATTTAAACTATTAAATAGCGAATGGAAAGTGTTTGAAGTGTGTTTATAATGTGGCTTTTTATTAGATTTATAAGGTTGATTAGTAAGAGAAGAGCTTTTGTTTCAATATGCTCAACTTTTACGTTGATTAACAGTAGGTTTAATTGATTCAAATGCCAAATTGCTTTAGAAAATCTTTGTTTTACTTTAAATCTACTTTAAATCTACTTTAAATCTACTTTAAATCTACTTTAAATCTACTGTAAGCCAGTTCAATACAAATATTTAATCAAATCTTCTTTATATATTGAAATTATATATTGAAACTTTTGACCCTGGCAATCCTTTTTTTGGTTACGTAAAAGATGTTAACATTAAGGTGTCCTTGTCATATGGAATGAGAGGAAAAAGATGCTATTTCCATGGAGAGATTGTGGAAAATGAAGAGTTTCAAAGAAATCAAAAAGATCCTTTCTCTTTTTTCCGTCGTTTTCATTGGAAATTGTACCATCTGGTACCATTTCCCGACCTTTGTCGGCTCTTTCTTTTTTTTCTCTTCTCATTTTTCTTCTCATTCTTCGCCCTTGTGAGCAATCAGCCGTTCAACCATCTCTTTTCCTTTAGAAAGCTTGATTCTTAAGCTTTCTGCAAATTTGTTTTCAAAAAAAAGTAGTCGAGAAGCTAAATATGGGAAATCTATAGGAAAAATCTTTGCTTCAATAGGAAATCCTAGCTTGAAAAAGTTTAGCTTTAATGTTTTCGGGATGTTAAATGTATCAGTTTGACTTTAATAAGCAAAGAAATGGTAATAAACAAAGAAATGGTAATAACTAAAGAAAAGAAAAGTTAAATTCAATGTTTTTCATTAAGAAAATGATAGAAGAGGTGAGATTTGAAAGATTTAAAAAAATTGAGTTTCAAAGAAGAAGAAGAAGAAGGTCGACTTCTTTCTAAAGAAGTTCTCTCAGTTTAGCTGGTGTTTAAGTGAAACAACGGGATGCCGAATTTAAAGTAAAATACAACCAAATCTAGGAGAAAGAAAAGAAAAATTGAAGCTGCTCATTTTATTGAGTCTACCAATTCGAGCTCGAGTTGTGTCTGTGAAAGTCTCCATGACAAAAAAGTATCTTTCAATTTTGATCAAGATCAAGCCGAATATTCATCATTTTTCATTCGGAATCGCAAAAAAACAAACATAATAGCAGCTAACAAATTCAACGAAATCTATTCGACGACCAACTCTGACTCTAATTTTTCGAAAATCTTTTTCAAATTTAGCAAACTTTTTCTTAAACAAAAGTCGTAAAAAATTCAAACGAAACTCTTTTTTTTCTCTAAAATAAACTTGAATTTAATGGCTTTCTGTCCGTAATTTTAACTTAATCTCCACCAATTTCAAAAGTGAATGTTTCAAATGACGCAAAAAGATTCAGAAAAGAAAATCATCAATCCCATCTTGTTTTTTCTATCATTTTTCAAAGTTTTTTCAAAAACTTATGCCAATATTTTACCTGTTCTGATTCTTGACAGCATTTGCTAATGTATTCGCTGAGTAGAGGCCACTTTTTGGGCGTAACGAGGCGCTGAGGCCACAATTGAGTGGCCGCGTCGCACACGAAAGCATTTGCGTGAGTGATGAGAGGTGAATTGTGGACAGTTTAAGCGATTACAGCCAAGAAAATGCTACTGTAAATGAAACTTGAGCAATATTTGCATAAAAAAAGAAAAAGAAAAGCTGGAAGAAAGATTGATGAATGCTTGAAAGTTGACGCGAATAAACTGAAGCTGAAGCTGAAGAAGAAAAGCTTTAATCTAGAAGTTTCAACGAATCAAAAACGGTGCAATCAAAACAAAAATCAAAAGAAAAAGCGATGTTTTGGCAAAAGAAATTCGACAAAAGTTGAGAAAGCATTAGAGAAAACAGGGAAAAGAACGGTCTAAAGAACGGACTGACAAAATGGGGGTACTAATCGCTCTCCTTTCCCCACCGCCAAAAAAAAGCTAAAGCCTTGCCCATTCAAAAGCCATTCGGAGAGACGAATGTTTAAAATAAAAAAGATGGAGGAAAAGATGGGGAAAAAGCAGGTAAATACCTCCTTTCTGTGCCCTTTTTATCGATGAATTTCAATAGAATTCAACAAATGAGCCACAAGAAGAGGAAAAAAAAACCCCCCGGATTACCTTAAAGGGTCAGTTCTTGAAGAAGGGAAAAAAAAGGAAGCTAGAACGCTTGACTTTTATTATTCAAAAATCTGTTTTAAAATTTTATATCTGGGATTTAAAACACTCACATTTACCCTATTTTCGTGTGAGTTTATTTCAATAAAGTAATAGAAATAAAGTAATAGAAAAGTTAATAGAAATTTTTCAAAGTTTACAATACATTTAAAGGTCAGTTTTATTTTTCAAAATCAATTAAATGAATAATATAATATTGGGTTGGGGAGAATGAGTCGGCGCCCAACTTTAAAGGGACTTTTTGCACACATAAAGCCTTCTTTAAACATACGTTTGGTTTCATCAAAAGGATCCACTATTTCTCTACAAAATCACTTTTGAGAGATTCCACAAAGCTTTTCTTTCGTGGAGTTTATGAACTTCCAAACGCAGCTGGTTAAAATGGCAAAGAGTCCGACTCATCATTTGAACAGTTTCTTTCACATAAACCTTCTTTGGTGTTTATATAAAAAAGATAGAGCACATTCAATTACTTAAGTTGCCAAATTTGCAGGAAGATCCCACCAATGGTTTTTTCTAGATCACAGTTTGTAGTTTTTGTGAAAAAATGGCTTTTTCTTGAGCGGAGGCGCTGTTTGAATTTTCTTTTAAATGTCATTTTGTAGAGAATTAGTTAACCATTCTACTCATATCAAACGCATATTATTTGACGAAGTCGAATAGAAGTTTTAGACATTTTTTTGATTTTCGGCGCCGACTCATTCTCCCCAACCCAATAATTTGAGACAATAAAAGGTCAAGATTCGATTGATGGGCAGGTGTGTGAGAGGAGAGGAGAGGTGAGGGGTGGAGATGAGGTGAGGAGATGAGGTAAGGAAATTGATGGGTAGGAAAAGGGTAAAGCTTTTAGGCCGAATGATTAGAGGTTTGAGCCTTTTTCTTTGACTATATAAACACTACATTTTTTGGTTTTCTTCCAATATCACAGGGAAAATGGATACAATAGAAAGGGTATGTTTCCCAAACTTTGAGCACAAAGTACAATGAAAGCTGAGCTTAGAACTTGTCCGTAAAACAAAATTGGTATTTTAGAGGAAAAGCGAATTGACCCAAAGAAGGGATAAATTGAGGAGGAGGTGTCAGAGGAATTGGAGATGAGAATTGGAATGGGAGCGAGAAGAAAACGAATGGGGAATCGCCTCTTACGCAATCGATCTTTTGAGAAAAAAGAAAAGAAAGGATATTCAGTTGAATGGGATATTATATTTGGGATGACAAGGAGAAAGAAAGAAAGAAAGAAAGAAAGAAAGAAAGAAAGAAAGAAGGGAAGAGGCCAAAGATGGTGACAGCCGGTCAACAATTATCCCCTTCCCTCACTTTCCCTTCTGACCCTTTCACGCAAATACAATTTACGCCTTGGCGAAGGCTCGTTGCACCCTTAAGACCCTAATAGCAGGGAATATGAAAGAGTAATCGATATTAATCATATAATTGACTAATATTGATAGACTGCTTGCTCGACTGACTGATTGACTTGCTTAAAAGCTCGTCTCTTCAGCCTCTTCAGCGTAAAAATCTCTTCAGCCTATCCCGGCTTACTCCAAGTGTATGCCAGCTATCTTAGTAAACATAATTCTTGAATTTTCAAAAACGATTAAACATCAAATACAAACAGTTCTCTGGGATCTTCTAAAGAAGCTAGGTTTTGGGTCAACTTCTAAAGAAGGTCGACTTCTTTCTAAAGAAGCTCTCTCAGTTTAGCTGGTGTTTATGTGAAACAACGGGATGCCGAATTTAAAGTAAAATACAACCAAATCTAGGAGAAAGAAAAGAAAAATTGAAGCTGCTCATTTTATTGAGTCTACCAATTCGAGCTCGAGTTGTGTCTGTGAAAGTCTCCATGACAAAAAAAGTATCTTTCAATTTTGATCAAGATCAAGCCGAATATTCATCATTTTTCATTCGGAATCGCAAAAAAAAACATAATAGCAGCTAACAAATTCAAAAACATAAAACGTTTCTCTGTAAGATGAAGAGAGAAGAATTCAAAAACCAGTTACACAGGGGTACATATCAGCAGGAGAATAGAAAAGAATGAAGAGAGAAAAAAATTGGCCTCCGTTATCGAAAAAATGTGAAGAGAAGGATGACTGGTTTATCATCGTTTTTGGAGAAGAAATGGCTGCGTGTGAGATCTTTTAGTCAATGTCATTCGGAAAAGAAAAGGGAAAAGGGAAAAGAGAGAGATTTTGGAGAGAAAAGAAATGGTGCTTTGACCGAATGGGTACGAATCTTTACATCTTTTTCAAAACAAAACCAAAAGAATAACAATTTTTGTGCTTTCAAAAGTTTCGACCAATTAAGTTCAAGTTCCAATTGGTAGACTGAATAAAATGAATAGCGCTCGTTCGCTATTCCAATCGCTTCCCCGACCCCGAAAACCCTAGGGTACAAATTTACAACTGAAGATCTGAAGATCTAAAAAGCTCTCATCTAAAAAGCAAAAGAGAAATCCCAAAATAGCTGGCGAGGTGTTCTTTGTGCGCGCACGTAAACGCTCACGACCTGGCAAACCGTCCCGATAGATAGGTGTTCTCTTTTTGGGGGTTATTAAAGAGCGGCTGAGCCTTCGCTGAGCCAAGCGGCTGAGCCTTCGCTGAGCCAAGCGGCTGAGCCTTCGCTGAGCCAAGCGGCTGAGCCTTCGCTGAGCCAACGGCTGAGCCTTCCTGAGCCAGGGCTGAGCCTTCGCTGAGCCAAGCGGCTGAGCCTTCGCTGAGCCAAGCGGCTGAGCCTTCGCTGAGCCAAGCGGCTGAGCCTTCGCTGAGCCAAGCGGCTGAGCCTTCGCTGAGCCAAGCGGCTGAGCCTTCGCTGAGCCAAGCGGCTGAGCCTTCGCTGAGCCAAGCGGCTGAGCCTTCGCTGAGCCAAGCGGCTGAGCCTTCGCTGAGCCAAGCGGCTGAGCCTTCGCTGAGCCAAGCGGCTGAGCCTTCGCTGAGCCAAGCGGCTGAGCCTTCGCTCTTCTCTTCATTACTACGCCCAAATCCCTCAATAGAGCACTCCTGTCTCAAGTTTATGATATTTTTTACAAACTCTACATACGTTGAACTGTTCTAATCATTGAAACATTTTCTTGACGTTAACGTTGAAATAAATTTCAAACTAACTTTATTCAGCTTACAGTTACAATTACAACTTGACAAAATTAGCATCGAATTTTAAACAGATACAAATAAACAAAAGAAAAATCCTTATTTTAGTCTTTAGTTCTCTTGAAAAATTACCCTACATTTAAGCATTTTTCAAGCAAAAAGTCTAAACGAATTTTCAAAAAAAATAAAGAATAAAGGTAGTGAATAAAGAAGAAAATCTGAAGAAGAGAAATGGATGGGGGAAATCCGATTTCCGCCCATTGTCACATAGCGCCTGCGGCATTGCGTGCATTGAGAATTTAAGAAAGAATTTTTTGGGGAAACTTTTGCGACTATTGCGCAATTTTTCTGCGAGTAACGCAAAACCGAGCATAAAAAGCAATTCAGCAATTCAAAAATGCAATGTAGCTTTGTGTATGTTGAGTCAAGCTCAAGCTCAAGATTAAGCTCAAGCTTTTGAGCCATTTCAACGCTGCTCACTTTAAAAGAAGCCAATTTTTTTGCTAGTTTAAGCAGAAATTTTGATTAAAAGTTATCTCTAGAGGAAAAAGATGGGGTTTTTTTAAAATATTTTTTGGAAATTTCGCACTGAAAGCTATGTAGGTCAAAAACTATGAAAAGCTATTATATAAGTTTGGATTTAGCCTGGAAAATTGTCTGGAAATCTAGCTTGGAAAATCCTAAGGCCATGAGTTTCAATTAGTCGAACAGAAGAGGCAAATTGGGCAACAGGTTTTACAATTTAAAGTAAAACTGAGACCGGATCGACAGAGAGATTTTATTAAATAAACCAAAAATCCTTTTGTAGAAGCCCAAAATGAAACATTCGTATGGGAAAAGGAAAAAGAAAGAAAGGAAGAGAGAGAGAGAGAGAGAGAGAAAGAAAGAAAGGAGAGAGAGAGAAAGAAAGAAAGAAATAAATAAAGAAAGAAAGAAAGATAGACAAATGGTAAAAAACAGAGTGTGGATATCGAATGACTGTGAAGGGGATTGCATTGGATTGAATGGGATCGATGTTCGTGAAAAAAGGTAAAAGGAAATGCCAAGAATCCCATTCAGAAACGGATACCCGTCTAGTGGGGACTAGTTTTGAGTTTTCCTTTAGATTTCCTTTAGAGAAATCAATAAAATATCTAAAGTTGCTGTAGTTTGATGGTGCTATACTGTGGTAAATCGGTTACGCTAACCGTTTTGTTAAAAGCTACCGTAGTCTCAGCATCGCTACCGTAATCTAAAAGTAAAGCCTCATAAAGCGATAGGTTCACCGGGTGATTTACATTTCTACAAGGCACTTGGACTA